GAGACTGGTCACAACTGCAGATGAAGGTGGGTGGTCGAGTGCCAACGCTGATAGTGTGCAGGCAAAGGACACGCTCACCCCTTGCAGATGAGGGCAGCCTGCTGGAAAGGCAGCTGGAGGTGCCTTGTCAGGAAGGAGGGGAGAGAAATCTGCTGAGTTGCCATCCTCTATGCAGTTAAGTGAAAAAGTCTCATATGGTGACATTTTTATGACAGTACAGCTATATTTTACCAAGCAATCGTCTATTTAGAGTGACACATGAGTTCAGACATCTATGTAGGGTTTAAAGGATATCTGTGAAATCTGGCCATGATAAGGGAATGTGCTCTTTCTTCTTTTCATCTCCTTGTCTGATAGTGCTTTTTTTCCTCAGGATTTGTCATTTAGTTTGCTGCTCCCTGCAGCAAACTGATACAAGCTGGTGTCCATGAGTTATGGTCCTGCCAGGAACTGTTATTCACACTTTATCAGGTTTTCTTTCTTTTTTTTTTTCCTCCTTTTTTTTTTTTTTTTTTTTCTTTCTTTGTAAACCCAGCTGGTCCTTGGAGCTGCCTCTGAAGTGATCTTTCTGCAAAAGTATGGGATCCATCACCTGTGGAATTTCTGTATTTCTCAGCAGCCCAACCCTATTGAAGAGCCTCCTTAAGCCCTTTTATCTATTTCCTGCCCTCCCATTTCAGATGCTTGCACTAACACACCTGCTGAAACAAAACGTCCTGCATGAAAGCTCCTGGGAGAGTCCTCCAAGATGCAAAGGCTGCAGAGAAAACCTTCACTTCTATGGCAAACTGTTTTCCCTGTTAGCAGCAATACATATTGAGGTCTCACTTGAGCACCTGAGAGACTCCTCTTTGCATAGGGTAGAGATACAGATCTGCTGTGACTTGCAGTAGGTCTCCTGGCAGAGGTCTGGGGGACTGCAGGAGCTGCTGTGCAGCATCAGGGGATGCTGAGGACTTGCACGGGATGGTGAAGGTTTCTTCTGCATTGTAACTGTTCCCGTGTCTGCAGAGGAGATGGGATATCTGGTGGTTTGTGTGTGCATGTGCAGAGGGAGGAATTGCACCCGTAACAGCACAGACACATCTCCTCTTCCCCAGGGTCAGGCCGGCTGAAACTCACTGTCCTTTCAGAAGACAGGCTCCAAATGAAATGGAAGGAGGCTGAAGGGAACATCAATGGCTACAAGGTTCGGGTAAAGCCCATGGCAGGTATGTGCTAACGCGGTGGACATCAGACCCAGCAGAGATCTGTGCATGAGCGAGGGACTGAGCTCCAGCTTTTGACTGGTGGGCAGCAGGACTTAGGAGCATTATTTAGATCTTAAGGTGATAGAGATAAGGCAGAGGGAATTATCTGCTGGTGGTTCTGGTTTCAAGCATTGAGTACCTAGATCAAAACTTTCCGCTGGGCTGTACATGCTGTACGGACAAGAAGCCTTTCTGGCCACCGTGAGAGCTGCCTGTAGTGCCACAACTGTGCAGGCTCAGTCCCTCTGTCCCTCATTTACAAGAGAACGACAAAATTCATCCCTCTTCATCCTAAGGGAAAGCCTTAGCCAGGAAGCATTGCTCTTTGGGACTGTGTGAGAAAACAGACAAGGAAAGGTTCATTTTCTGGTTCTTCTGTGGGAGCTCCCAGCTCTCCCCACACCTGCAGGGACATGGGATGGGACGTCCTGGACCATGTGTGTGTGGGGCTGAGCTGCTTCCCTTCCCTGACTGAGCTCCCTGACTTTGGACACTGAACCTGGTGGAGTTGGAAGGACACAAGGTCCCTCAGCAGGGAGAAATCATTGGAGGCAACCTTAGTCCTGGCTGGCA